TCAACTGATAAAAATAGTGTGAATTTATTGTTTTTCAAGTATGCAGATTACCATTAGGTTCTGCAAATGCTTGAGACAGTAAAGCAATACGAAATGAACAGTGCAGATTTCTGAGGAATCCGATGGCTTTAAGTCCATGGAAAATGCAAACCTTTTCGCTGAATTATTATTGTCATTAGTTGTGGCCCTGAATTCTCAAATGGTTTTCTTCAGATTTCGTCAAGACCAATTTACTGTTCATATCAGCATCGACTGGTCCAAACAAATCTATCTTACTCTGCTGATAGACACAAAAAATTGCTTTCGGGTTGCCTTTGGATGCAGATGTGGGGAAGCCAACTAGTTGGAATATACTTTACATCTGCTGATTATCTTCAAAGCTGTGATGTAGAAACCTACATCCATTTCTCTAACTGAACCACGATAATGGCTGTAATATAGCCTTCTATTTTGTACATATGTTCAGCTTTAAACATATCCTTGCGTTACTTTTTTACAGATCAGAGAGTAGCATCTTTTTGCACCTTGAATGATATGCAGCAAGCTCAGGACTTGGAAGGAACACAAGAGTTACCTTTGGATGACAGTCCCACAGATGGAAAAGATTTCCTTGAGGCTACTGGGTATGTCAGAATTAAAGCATATTTCTTATAAAAATATTTTAAGAAAAGATTTTCTCTTAATGTTGCATGTCAGTTTGCCTGTATGCATTTTCACTGCTATTTGATGGCAGACCTGTTAACCTTGACTGATCATGTCTTTAATTTCAAAAAATGATGTTTCTTGGAATCAACCTCTGAGCAGTTCTGTCTAGAAAATTTGTGGTATAGTCAGATAAAGCTCTCTCACTAGAATAGGCCTCTAAGGCAGAGTATGGTTAGATGCAGAGTTTCAGCTAATCGAATTTTTCACTGTATTCCTCCTATACAATAATAATTTGTTACGCTTATTTCTATTTTCATTTGAATAGAACCAATAACAGGAGCTCAACTCTGTAGTATGCAATAACCTTATCTGCAGCAAATGTCTCAGACCTTGGGACAGGTGTTCCTACCTATCTTTTGCCACTATTTGCCACTCGCAAATCCATAATTTTTCATTTATATAAAGGCAAATCAATCGAGAGAACCTGTAACTGAGGACTGCAGGAAACTTTTATGCCAAACTTCCCAATTCTCCAAATTCTTCCCAGTGCTCTGGGAGAGATTATTCTCTTTTTTTTTTTTTCTTCCCCCGCCCCCCATCTTCCCTGCTGTGAGGAGTATACTTGTTAAAAACACAGATTCAGCAGTATAATCTGTCCACTAGCTGCTTTAAAAGAAAAACACATCTTTGATTAGTTTTGCTCTTCAGCTGCAGGAACGGAAGAACAGTAAAGGGAGGGAAAAATCTTCTTGCTTGTTAGACTATCACATTTTAATTTGAAACAATTTTACACAAATTAACTTACTTACATGGTAAAGCATATTTATTGCAATGACTTCTAAGTTCACATCTTTCCCCAGCCTAGTGATCAGTAGGGATTGCAAAAGACTGTTGAAGATGTTCCACTTTTAGCATTGGCTAATCTGTCAGATTTGTGCACTTGCATGAAGCAGCTGATTCAGCTTTTTATATAAAGCTTCTCTCTTCAGCTTCTCTCTTCTAGACAAAATGATTCACATTATGACTAATCTAATCTATAACATATATGCAACTGTCTCCCACAGTGCTCATTGTCATACGGGAAACAGAAACTATTCTCAGTGTTTTCCTTCAGTCATGCATTTTACTAACCTGTGGCAATATTTCATATGTTTTGACCTTTAAACAAAATATTTGTCTCCATAAAGCCGTAGGTTTATCCTTTACTGGAAATGACACAACTGCAGACCAGACAAAAGAACTCTCAACAGCTCTTTTGGTTTACAATAATTGCTGCTGCTGCAGCTTGCTTCAGATTAGTACAGTCCTTATCAGAAAGCAGCTTGTTAACAAATGTGCTCAGCACACCATTTAGCAGCAAGTTTGACTTGCACTGTGAGGGTACGTGCAAATAATTCCTAAAACATTCCTTCTTAAAATCATTGTAATTTCTGCCTGATTTGCATGAGAGGCAATGTCATATTTCAGATATTGCAGCAATGGGTTTATGTTCCAGTAATAATCTTTTGCTGATGCTGGTTTTGTCTGTGTTTTCCTAACTATGCCTAAACCGATTTGTTTCCTTTGATATCACTAAAAGTGTTACTCTGAAAAAGCTAGGGGAGAAAATGTTTTTATCTAACCCAGAGTGAAGGTAGTGGTTTACTTTACAGGGAACATGCTCCGAGTACTCTGACTGGAAAAGTAAACCAGCTAGAAGTCATCCTCCGACAGCTACAAACTGACCTGAGAAAGGTAAAAGATCATTAGCAATACTATTAGTCTCCAGTTTCAATAGTTATATTTTTATGCAGAGTTCATCAAGGGCTTGAAAAAAGCACATCAGTTAAACTAGATAGAGTTAATGAATGGTGGAGCCCAGTGGTTGATCAGAACACTGAGGTGCAGAAGGTCCTGTGGGAATGGTTATGTGAACAAGCTGCCCCAAGGCTAACTAGTTTATGGGTCTTTAGTCCAGAATAACTGTCCTACATATAGTCATACCCCAGGAAGAATGAGGCACACTGTCTCCATTTATGGTACCTTGGATTTAACAAAGGATAGGGACATGGACACAGGCACTATTGCTAAGTACTTAACACTCCAGATTTGTCATCCTTGTGGCCTTGTGGTATCTTGATCATGTAACAATGACTTGCTTTGTCTCATTTGCTGTCTAATTTCTAAGCTGGAGATAATGCCAGGACTGGTAGAAATGAGACTGCTTTTGGTAAGAAAATAATCATGTAAGGGAAAATTTTGAAATTAGATTTTTTTTTTTCCTTAACATATGCTTGAAATAAATTCCTCATGTCTTGGGCTCTCACATATGATTTGAAATAGCTGAAAGTTTCTTATCCTCTTAGTACTTGAATTTTTTTGTTAAATGGAGTAAACTCCTGTAATTTTTCTATTAAAGTAGCATCTAGTTTTCTTTTTAGCTTGCAATATTTTCTCAGAATGAATGAGGTAGTTGGAGCATATTTGGGGAATTAACTTACAGTTAGTAGTTGTCAGAATGGATTAGGGAGCTCAACAAAATATAGCTGTATGACATGCACAGAAATATTAACAACAAAAATAATTGCTATCATCACGATTACTCACTTTACTCAACTTGTGTCTTTGTTAACCAGGAAAAACAGGACAAGGCAGTTCTCCAAGCAGAGGTACAGCATCTGAGACAAGATAACATGAGACTTCAGGAGGAGTCTCAAACAGCAGCTGCTCAACTGAGGAAATTTACAGAATGGTTTTTCAATACGATAGACAAAAAATCCTAATGCCTGGGCCCCTGGAAAATACTTATTTGAGCAATGTAACAGCTGTATTTTTTGAATTAGCTGGGTAATAATTTCACTGTGTTCACAATCCATTTTAGGTGTTTCTGCTACATTCTCTATCCAGCTTTATTCATTTGAAAAGGAGAGAGAACTGTGGTAATCTGTCTTTAAATTCGTATGAAGAAAGCAGAGAACGGCAGATATTTGTTTGTGTGCAGATGAATGTAAAAAATCCTTAGTGTCATTTCAGACATTTTTAGAAGATGCTCTGGCTGGGGCTTGCCTGGAGAGAAATATTTGGAGTTTTAGTTCCTGCGTTTCAGGTGCGCTGGTGAAGATGTTAAAGCAATTTACATTAGCTTGGGCTTCAGTATTGTAAGATAAAAAGAATAACCAGACATATACTTTAATGTTTAAAAGGTGCTCTATTTTTTTGTATGTACAGTAGTTTTATTTCCACAGTCCACATTGTCATAGCAATAACAATGGAGGTATAGTGAATAGTCACAAAGCTGTGTTTATAAAATGTTAGCACTGATGTGTTTAACACTAGTTTGGATGCAGATACCTTAGAGATTATTTATTTGCAGGAACAAATGGTGCCTGAATATAAACAGTGTTCTGATTTTCTAAAAATACACATGCCTTGTAAATGGCTCACTGGGGTTAGCCCACTCCCAACTTCAGTTACTTTTGTATAGTTGATGTTCAGCTAAACAGTTATACTGCTTAACTATTGAAATCATGTATGGTGTGAGCCAGCCAATCAATTGTACAATGCCAAATTTGTTTATCTTTGTACAGAAGCTTTGATCAAGTGTCTTGTATTTAACACCTTTATTTAAGCTTATTTAACCTAAATTGTTGTTTTTATAAAGTTTGTTTTATCTGCACTATGGTGAGGTCAGTTGGTTGCAAGTTGTAATATTTTTAGCTTGCCAAGACCATACTGAGGAGTTCTAGAAAATTCTAACAATTGGATGCTGCTAGTACACAATTGATTTGTTTGTATGCTTTAACATTTTTAACTGTTTAATTTGAAATGAACATACATCCTGCTTTTTTAATAAATGTTAAAAATCTAAACCTGAATTATTTTATCTTGTATTATCTGTAACCACTGTTACCAGTAATAGCTCAGGGTTCTGTTCAGCCCACTCTCTAGGTTCTGAATCTGGGTACAGTCAAGCCCCGCAGAGCTCTCACGATTCCTTGTTACCATCGAGGGACTGTCAACATTATTAAAGTTGATCTCTTTGGTGTGTCCTATCCTATAACTGAGAAGGTAGCTTCACGGGTCAAGGAACAAAAGCTGTTTTGACTGCTCACAGGCATTGATTAGTGACCTAGGAGAAAAACTGCTTTACCCAAAAATACGTCTTAAAGAAAGTTTTCAAAAAGAGTTTAGTGATCTTGTATTATTTTCCACTATTTGTAGTAGCAAATAGCTTGCCATCTTCTTGTGCCAGCAATCGAGGATTTGATTGCAGTGTTAGGACGTCAGGTGTTTTATGCATAGTACTGAGCTTGAAGTCTACTCCGAAAAAGTACAGTTTTGTAAAATGAAATGAAGCTAATGAGCACGTTTGATGCTATCCTTCTGAGAGGGGAAAAAAAAAAAGTTCAAGATCAGTTTCCTTTCAACAGCTGAATGCATTCAGGCAAACCCACAGAAAATGGCTGAAGAGTTAAAAAATATATTCAGCTGATGCAAGTAAATTCTGTATCCATTGTTACTGCATTTGGCTAAGAAATGTTTTGTAAGTTGAACAAATGTCTGTCCCTGCTATAATTGTTCTGAATGACTGCTCTTAGGAAAGGTTATACATGCACAGAGAATCAAGGCTTTGGTATCCTTACATTCAAATGAAAAAGGCTATTTTGTCTTTGTATTTTTCATCAAAAACTCTGACTCTTACATACCAAACAATATCCATTACGCTGTATTAACTTAGAGTAATTAAACATAGCAGTCGTGTTACACTAGATTCTGATTTAAACACCTTACAGCAAACCCATCTGGCTGGAGACCTTGCCAAATAACAGTGCTGAACAACTTGGGCAACTTGTCTGTGAACATGTTTCTGTGAGGGTTGGTTTGCCCACTTTGAAAAGCCGTGCTAACTGAAAGGAGCTTGAGAATAAGCTCGTTCTGAAGGGGCGCTGTTAGGTTTGTATAAGAGTTTATAGTCCGATACTCATTTTAGCTCTTTATCTCTCAGTTACTGAAAACAAATACCTACCTGCACAGAAAGGATTTCAGTAGTTATCTTCTTTTCCCATGCCATTGAAAACATTTTATTTCCAATAGTGACTGAAAACTTTGTCTACAAATCTCTTATTCCCTTTGCTGACAAAAGCAGTTGTGTCAGAGGCACGCGGTTCTTCCTTAAGTAATTTTCACCATGGGAAAAAGTTTCTAGTCTGGCTGTTATTGTTTTAATGACATGTGAATACAATATTTATCAGAGACCATAATACAGTTTTGGCATAGGTAAAGGCCATTTAATTGGACATTTTAATTAACTGGTTTTTAAGAATAATTCTCTCGGAGACATTTTGCTAACAAAAATGCCTGTTTTAGACACGTGGAGGCAAAGGCTAAGTCTACATAAGAAACAAGTGTGGAGCACTAGGAAAATTTAGTGTTGCTAACCCAGGTTTTGGGAGTGGGAGGAGATCTTTCAGGCTCGCTCTTGTCCAGTCCCATGACTGGACACCTCTTAGTGGCTGAAATGGTATGTTAGGTGGGCTCTGGCTTAGGTTTGTCTGGAAGCTCTGTGCTTTAAAACAAATCCATATGAACCAAAGCAGAGTGAGTGGGATGACTGAGAAATTCACTTCAAAGATGTGTTTGTGATCTGAATTAAACAGTAATATGGAAGTGTTTTAAATGTCAACAAAGTCTTCCCAGCACAGCAGGCCGTGCTGTGAAGTACTGAAATGCAGAAACCAAACATGTGAGCCAATGCGGGTGCTTACTTCTGTAAAAGGGACAAATACACATCATGGCAAAATTACAAAATGCTCTGCTTCTGCCTTAAAAGTGGCACCCTAATTTAAATGTAGATCTTGATTGAAGGGATCGTTACTAAGACATTTCTCACAGTGTGGACTGTATTTTATTATGTATAGCTTTTTCTGAGACAACTATTACAAACATAAGGAATAATTTTGGATATTTTTTCTGTTCCTGAGAATGTAGTCAAACTGTGGTTTAGGCATGTGATAGCTTTATACAGAAGCTTTGTACATCCTTTGCATATTATTTAATATAAATTCTAAAATTAGTTCATCTTTTTTTGTGCCCCAAATCCAGTTGTGTGGGAAAAATGTTTAAAATTTTTGTAATATTGTAGGGCAGTTGCTTAGAAAAACAATCTTCAGTCTGGAAAAGAATAAGAGAGATGCTATGTGCATTATGTTGTTGTTGCAGCATTTCTTGAGCTCTCTGTGCCAGCTGGTTCTAATATCTAAGAAACTCAGTGAAACTTAGGAGTTGATGTCGTATGATTTGAAATCATCAGAACCATTAATTATTGCCAAAACAAGTTATTCTTCACCCCAGCCTCTCTTGTCCACAGCAAAGACTAGAAGAAAAAGAATGTCTTTCAACTCAAAAGCAAATAAAATCTTGCTTCTGCGTGTTTGGGAGCAGATTATGCACACTGAGATGAAAAGGTATACTTTAGCAGTCCTGGAAATAAATTTGCCAAGAATATAAATCTTAATCTGAGCTCTTTTCTCTATGCACACAAGTTGTATTTTTCATTCGATTCCTCACACTTCCTATATGTCACTCCCTCACCATGTTCCCTTGCTTTTCTCTCAAGAAGAATCCAATGGCACATGAGCCAGAAGGAAAATTTCTGCAATAGATCCCAGGTCTGGACAGCCAGGGACAAGTCTGTGTGGGTTTAGACAAAGCCATAGAGAGGCAGGGCCCAAGCATTTTGCAGTCTTTGCTCCTACATTGTTCTCCACAGTGGCTGCAGAACAGAAAGTGGGGCAGGTACAATTCCACCCAGCCTTGCAAATGTAAATCTTTGCTATTTTGCAGACTCTGAAGTCACTCACTGTCTTACCCAGCTGCTAGCTTTCTGAATCAGGTTTTGAGTCATGGGTAAAGCACCCAGCAAGAATGTGTATTTCCAAAATAACTGTATCTAGCAGATTTCCAAAACCTTCACCAGGGAAGCAATTAAAAAAAAAGAAAAAAGCGGTGGGGGATAGAGAGGACATTTTCTTAGGTTTTATTTTGATTCTCCTTTCAGTCAGACAACCATCATTGCTGGCTGTTGCACCAACTTTTGGGGACATGGCAGGACCAGAGAACAGAATGAACAGGCCAAATTCCTTATAGCCTTTCATGTTAGAAATCACTGGAAGGTTTCAAACGTATCAGTGTTGGAATCCTATTTATTTTATTGACTTCTCTAGTGAAATAGTTTTATGTTGTTTGTTCCATTTTTTGAACATGTGAGCCTTTTTCCTCCACTAAGCATCAATATTTAAAGGCTTCTTTGCCATATAGCATCACAGAATTAATCTAGTAATAGTCATATTGACCTTGTCCACGTTGGAACAAACTGGGGCTGATAGGTGAATAATACAAATGTGGTAGTTTTGCAGAAAGGCTATAAATTATTTTTTTTTTATATATTCCTCCTATACAATAGCAAATCATTAAATCTCAAAAGCTGAAAAACAGCAGATGGGCATTTTCTGACCAATGTCACAAAAAAAAAAGATTATTGAATATGCCATTGATATCAGTTCAGGTCTTTGTGTCCAGACCTCAGCTGGAGGCGTTTAAAATAAATCTGAGGAGAGATGATGGAGAGTAACACGACAAAAACAAGCCATGTCTGTGAGAGAGACATGCGAAGTGCACCAGTAGTAATCATGGGCAATATATGAGTTGTGCTTTCATTGATGACAGGTGACTCTATGTCCAGAGACTAGAACTTTAATAAAAGAGGAAATTTTCATGTAAATTGTTTATCTTTTGTAAATCCACTGTTCGGAACCCGGGAAGCAATTGTGAGTATACCTTGGGAAAAACTTGTGCCATGAGTTAACCCTGACCAGAAATCTGGGAGAAGGTCTGCAGTACTTGGGTAGTAATGACAATATCTAAGCAGCGGGGCTTGGTTATACTGAACCCAAATTTAAAGTGTTAGAAGCTCACTCCTTTCCATCTTTGTTTCCTGTTTTGAAATGGATGAAAGTGTGTGAAAACTGTTACTAATGGAATAAATAAGTGACCCTAGGGTAGTAGTAGTAAATACCAGTCTAGCCATCTGAGGTTCTCTTTACCACTAACACTGTAGTCTCACTTTCAGCTCAGGCATAACTTTGATAGATACTATTTTCTGAAGAATTTTTTGTGGAAACCTGAAATGTCTGCGTTCTCATCGATGCTGTGTTTCTCCTACATAGACATTTTATTCAAGTTGATGGATGTTCCTTTCACAAACCCAAGGCACAGTGTTTCTTTTCAACAAGAAATGTTTCTCTTGTGTGTAAGAACAGTGCTCCAGGAAGTATATTCTAGCAGTAGCCCAACTTTAAGCTGTTTGTGCTCAAGGTTGACTATCTTCTGCCACACAGCTCCCAGATTCTTGGTCTTCCCTTCCTTTGCTAAGAGCTGAGTTTCTCAGTAGGGGGTTCAGTAAAAATAAGCACAAAGCAAAAGGCTCCTTCAGACTTGCAATGTCTTCGTTTTGTATGAAATACAGTTTAAAGGTACAAATCTCCTATCTTGTTCTTTTCTGTGGCTTCTCCTGTCAGAAAGCTTAAAAAGGAACTTTCAGGATGGCTCAGCGCTTGAACAATTCAAAGCCTGTTTGCTGAAATGCTGGTGTATGAGTAGGGGATCTTAAATATAAGCACTAATTAATATAAAAATTTGTTCAACATGCTTTCAGTCTGCATACAGACCAGAAACAACCTTGTTTCCGATGAGGGAAATGCCGTTCCATCAATTCTAGTCCACATTGGCTTGGACAGTGAGGAATGAGTAACCTGCCATTCAAAGGAGAAAGTAAGCAATGGGCTCACGCCTATGTATTTTAGTGTTACATAGCCAA